TAATATCTTAAAATAGAATTATGCTTTATCCCTGCTATGAGTATTGTAACAAAACAAGTACAAGCACAATGTCACGTAGGGATCTCAGTCTGTTGGAAAAAGTATCAGTAATCATTAGTTGGTAGAGGGGTGGCACCAGGAAGGTAGTTATTTGCTCTATGTTATTCTTACATTTTGTTCAGTTTCTGTTTAGTGTGTCACCATGAAAGTCATTTTATTTGTTCCCCTTTACAGCTAAACATGACATTCCACTTGTTCATAGTGGCACTTGCTGGAGCTGGAGCAGCAGTCATTGCTATGGTAAGCTACCTAGCACTTTCTTCATCATCTGAATTGCTAATTCATTCTGGTTGTTGCTTAGTATCAGTTATTCAATTTCCATACTGTCACTCAATGCTATTACTAAAATATAATTCTGTAATTCACTACTCTCTCTTATCTCTATTTAAAATATATTAGTGGATTCCTTTTAAAGTAGATCATGATTGCTTTTTTGAATAAAACCACACCTTTTAGGACATGCTAAGAATTTTTACTGTTCACTTGCTGTGTTCAGGCAAGTGTCTGAACTCTTGTGTCTGTTTCACGACAATATTAATATACTTTTATTGTCTATGCCTTTCTGGGTATTCACAGGTTTGCCATGTTGCTATTTTAGGAGCAGAGTCTTTTTGTCAATTCTGTGCATATATGTGAGTGCATCAGCTTTTCTGTCAGGACAAATTTTTTCTTTTTTTAAATAATGAAGATTATTTTGAATTTGATCACATTTTGACAATGAAAATGTTCCACTGAGAAAAGAGTGCATGAGCTAGTGCCCTGTTGTTCTGGTACATTAAGCCACGTAGCTTAAATACATGATACTTTCAATGAAGTTTAAAAAAAAAACCTGTATAGGTCACAGTATCATATCAAAGATGCCATAGATGTGATACATCAGGCACTAATCCACTAGGAATTCACTTTGATGGCTCACACTTATTTTTGAAGGATTACCCACACCCAAGTATGCTTTTATTGGATTCTGTGACTGCATAGGGGAGGCGTGACAGCACTGACAGTTTCAACAGAAATGTTGGGGGGTCATTGCTGTTCTTTCTCATGTATAGGTAATAAACAGATACAGAAATGACCATTGAAGTAATACGTATTTTACTGTTGTCGATGTTGTGTCAGATAGAAACAGAAGGCATGAAGTTGTTTAAATGTAAATTCTACCATCCCAAAAGTGTTGTAAAGCTAGTAAGCATTCTGCCTGTGATGTTTTCCGAAAATCACTACAGCAAAACTGAATTATGAGAGAATTCCCCTTCTCAAAAGTTACCATGTGAGACGTACTCTTCAACTTCCACAGAGGTTTTGTTCTGTAAAATGGAAGTGCAATCAATTTTCCTGAAACAAGAACAAGGGAAATGTATAAGTGGTCTAGTCCCTCTCTCCCAGTATGATTGTGCTCTTCTGCAGGGTATTAGGTGTATATAAGGGGAAGAAAAAGTTGCTTCTGCCCTCCTGATACAATGACATGTCCCAAAAGGAAAGGAAAGACAAAATAAAACCAAAACCCTCCCTAGTCTAGATGCAATTCCACAGTTCTGAAAGGTTGAAGCATACTTTCACCTTTTAAAATATAAGCAGGCATGTGTTGTGATTTAACCCCAGCCTGCAACTGCCCTGGTAGGATAGGGAGGAGATTTGGAAAAAGGTGAAAACCATGGGTTGAGCTAAGAACAGTTTAAGAGAGTACAGTATACTACTACTAATATTGATGAAAAGGCAGATAACAAAAAGAGGGAGAGATCTAAAACTAAAAAAAAAGAAAAAACAAACAACAGTGATGTACAGCACAATTGCTGACCAATGCCCAGCACATCCTGAGCAGCAATCAGCCACTTCTGGCTAACTCCCACCACTATATACCAAACACGATGTTCCATGATATGGAATACCCATGTAGCTAGTTTGGATCAGGTGTCCTGGCTGTTCTCACTCCTGGCTTCTTATGCACCTCCTCACTGGCAGAGCATGAGACTGAAAAGTCCTTGATCAGGGTAAGCACCACCTAGGAACAACTGAAACATCAGTGTGTTATCAGAATTATTCTCAGACTAAAGCCAAAACACAGCACTGTGCCAACTATTAGGAAGAAAATTAACTCTATCCCAACCAAAACAAGGGCAGAATATGTCAATATGCAAAGACCGTGTGCTGTCTTGCATATGTCTGTAATTAAAACATCCTGAGGCAGACTCTGGAAGCTGCCCTGCTTCAATTTGAGTAAGTGTTGACAGGGCCCCACTGGCTTCAGGCTACTCAGGTCATGCAAGTGTGAAATTCAATTAGACAGACACTTAGAGATGACCTCCTTAGTGTGACAATGTTATCTAGGAACTTTGTGTTCAACAAAAAAAAAACAAAGGTGTTGGGACTGTTAAGCATATATGTCATTATATAACATGGATATTTATTTGAGATTATATAAGCTAAAGTACTTGTTTCCAGGCAAGTCATCCTACATGTAGTGAGTGTGAACTCCAAGAGTTTTCAACACTTATTCCAGAAGTTTGGTTCTGTAACATTTTAAGGAAGGGATAGGCAAAGAACAGGAGTTTAATGAAGGTCAGACTGTGGTCAATGTACCTTCAGAATAGTTAGTCTTTTTTTTTTTAGAAGAAAAATGCCAAGTGAAACTGCAATACATTACTTTTAAATTTGTCTCTTACTGGGTTGTTATCATATCTTTCGTGAGGATAAGAAATGTACCTACATTTTCATTGTGTATTCTTCAGCTGCAAGGTTTTCTGGTAGGTGTGTTTTAAAAGATAGGGAAGATACAAGTACACTGCTCAAATGCTACCCGCTTCTAGGATTCTCATGTCTACAATCTTTTGAATGTTCAAATTGTATTTTTTACTTGAAATCTTTAATTTTTCCATGAAGATGTGTGGAGTAGCTGAAGTAGTAAAGCAGGGATAATTTGTTGGTTTTTTAGTTCTTCAGTTCACGCTTGAACTTTGCTTCAGGTTGCTCTTCTACTTGTTGACTTAATCATGCTTAGCTCCTTCTGACAAAAGAGCTATCATCAATCTCTATCATATAATTTTCAAGTCTGAAGTTGCTTTATTCTGATAAGTTCTTTTGGTTCCTAACTTTCTGTTACTTCTGTTATAGGTTCATTATCTCATGGTCTTGTCTGCCAACTGGGCCTATGTGAAAGATGCTTGCAGAATGCAGAAATATGAGGATATCAAATCAAAGGAGGAACAAGAGCTTCATGATATTCATTCTACTCGCTCTAAAGAGCGGCTCAATGCTTACACATAAAAGAAACCTTGTCTTACTTTTTAACATAAGAATGCTTTGTTGTTTAACTAAAGGCCGTCCAACCATTTTAAAAACAACTGAAAGTGCTTCTCACAAAAGATTGTTTGGGTGACTTACATATTACCCATGTACAATTCTTGGTTGTCTAGCACTTGGTTTCTTAATTAGTTCTTACTTTGTGTGATCATTCTCTACCACAAAGCTCCTAAATAGCCTTTCCTGAATTCTCTTAAGCTAATTAGTTCTGCTAGGTCAAGGATACTAAACTATTGTCAAATGCAAATACGTGTTTGATTTTTTAATCACTTTGTATGTGTTATGCATAACACCTTTTGCATTGTTTCTTATATGTTTTTGGAAAAAAAAGTAGCTTTTTATACTTTTTGGTTTTGAGTTCAGTAACTACTTTAACTACAGGTATACTTCAAAGGGACCATTGTACCTGATGTACAATATAGGAAGAAAACATTCTGATGACTTTCCTTAATATTTGGAAAACTTGCTAGATGGACCCTGATCCTGTTGAATGAAGGTCCTACTGATGTTTTAAACAATCAAGGGTGCAATTTCTAAATTTGTAGTGGGTAATGAAAAAAGAAAAAAAGAGAAAAAAGTTAAAAAAATACTAAAAAAAAAGGAAAAAAGTGCTTCTTATCTTTGTTAACATTGTATTATTATTGATGTTTTTAAAGAATATTCTCTTGTTCCAAGTTTCATGGGTGATAATTCCTGTTTGTATTGTGAGCATGCAGACCGTGGTGCTAACAATGCATGGCCACTTGCCTTTTGAAGGAATTCAATACCACGGCTACCTGTTAAAGAGTTATGGTATATAAACAATTGTTAATTTAGTGATATAGTTATCCATAGTTTTTTACAGAATGATCTCTCTTTAATTCAATGATGGTTATGCTAAATTGGAGCTGTTCATGTGATGATGTAAGAAATTACTGCTTAGCTACATTTATGAAAGTAATATATCAAAAATACAGTGAAAATAGGAGTCAGATGTCTTTTTACCTGCTTTAAAAATTTAAATGGATTGCACCTGTCTGAACTGTAAAAGATATATTAAACAAGACTTCCATAAATGTTATAGCTTGGCTTCTAGCTTTCCTACACATATTGGTTTACCTGTATTACGTTGAAGTAAGGTGAAAGACCACTAAAGATATTATTATTTGAAAGAATAGTAATATATTTGATCCTTTATTTTGATAGGAAAATGTTATCAGAAAGATAAGTCATCTTAATTTGAAAGAATTACCTGTACCAAAAACAAAACAAAAAATCCTATTTAAGAAAAGTCAGTATTATTGGACCAAATTTGGTGGGTTTGTTTTTTGTTTCTTTTCTTTTTTCTTTTTTCTTTCTTTTTCTTTTCTTTTCTTTTCTTTTCTTTTTTTTTTTTTTTTGCCTATTTCTAATGCTACAAGAATGCTGTAAAGTGTCTTTTAAAGTGATGTAGCCTGACAAGACATTTTTGTCAGTGTTAAAAATCTTAGGTAGTTTTGTGCACTTATTGGACCATTGTGAATTCTCTCAGTGTAAGTGCATTTCTAATAAAACTTCTTGAGTAAAACTCTTCTTTGTACTATTACTAGTCATGCATCATCAGTAATTTTTAACAATTCTTGTAGTAAGTAGAGGGTGATACTATAGTTACTTGTGGCATGATAATGCATTAAGTAGTAGTATTAGTTGATTGAATTTTTTTTGTTATTTTCTTTTGCTTGTTTGGGATTTTTTTTTATTCGGGGCTTTGTTTGGGGGTTTATTTTTTTTACACTTAGGCTGTCCTACAGGGTCAACAGTTTTCTGATAATGTGCAGTACCGATATTACAGTTCTGCAAAAAGTATTAGGAACCTCTTTTTGGATTCTATATTGTAGTGTTTCAGTTTTGTGTCTTAAAACGTTTGTGCTGATTTTAAAAAAATGTCTTTTAAACTCATGTAATGATGTTAATGCTTTTGGCTCTTCTCTGGTATTAGAGTTTGTATTTTCACAAAGAATGCTTTGTAGCAGGCATTACAATTAATCTGTTTTGTACATAAATGTGCCAACAGCTTGATGGTGGCGTTTTTGAAGTGTAGAACAAAGTGCTTGCAAAAATGTAATAAACACACTTGTGTACTTTGTGTACTTATTAATTGTTTGTGTCACATAGTTTTTCCTTGCCTATACTGGACAAATCATTATAACCTGAAATGGAAGAAACTTGTTCCTTCTGTTGTTGTTGCTACTGGCAGACTGTTCTCAGTATCATGCATTTTTTGTACAACCTCCTTTTAGATGTTCAAGAAGATAGTTCCTTTAGCAGAAATTATGAGAGCAAAGAGTAAGATTTAAAAATGAATAATCTGGAGATGTTATATTAATTAGAGAATCTGTCTTTGTCAAATCTGTGACAAAAAAAAAAAAACCTGATTGCCACGAATAATTAAAAAAAAAATAAATCCAAGCTCTGAAGAGTGATAGTCTTATCCTTTTTCATGACACAGTTCCCTCTGGCCTGTACCTTTACAAATCACACAGAGGTAAAAGTACAGTGCCTCAGTTTTGGGTAGTTTGTTCCACCGTATTACGACTCCTGATCATTGCCCATGTACAGATTGCTTCAAATATGTCATTTACTCAATGTTTAGTGTCAGAAATAATATCTCCTAAGAATAAGAAAGTAAAATAATGTCTAAGATCAGAATTTCGCAGTCAAGAAAGAGCCAGGTAGCATGAGCCATACTTGTAATATTTTTAACATATCAGTCAAGAGAACAACTGGGTGAATTCACATTATTGCACTGTCATTTGGAACAGCTCAGCAGAAGCTAGTCTGATATCGGTTTGACTGTTGTTAAGGATACTGATACCTGAATGCTACAGTAGCTAATGCTGTAAAACCTTGATAACAATACTACCTTACTTACGTGGATGCAATGTAATTTAAATGAAATTGATAGCAGTACCAATTAACATGATATCACTAAGGAAAATTAATCAAAATACAATTTCACAATGTGTTTGTTTCTCAGTTAACTAGCTATTACACAGCTCTTTGTATGCTCTTGATGACAACACATACCATAATGGCAGTTTTTCATCAACAGCACAAGCCAAAGCAGTAGATGAGCTTCCCACAGCACATCGGTCATAATCAATTCACTTCAAACTCTGTGCATATTTGTTTTATTCCATATTCTTTGTCTACAGCCTACACTAACTCTTCCTGAGGTAAGTTGCATGGATCTTAATTTCTACAGACTCTTCTGTGCTTAGTCAAAACTTGGAACTGTCCTGTATTCAGAAGCAAGAAAACCAATTGCAGATGAATCAATGTGGTTCCTTTTTTTGCTGCACAAAAAGGAGTATGTAGTTAAATGAAAATTCCAATTTAAGAAATTTCCAGCCTTACATCCTCAGTTTTGCATTTTCTTCACAGTTTACTCTGCCCCATCAATAGTACTAATGGCATGTTATGAAACAGATCTAAAAATTGCTTGAGCAACAAATCCTTCCCACTCATTTTCCCCTACCCACATCTCCTCTTTTTTTTTTTTCTTTTTGTGTGCAAGGTTTATTATCCCTCAGCAGGATTGTAGTGGTGTTTATGTTTTCAGCACAACCACGTAAACCATTCAATCAGTGTGATTTAGGCAATAGTGAACTGCACTGCAGTTGTGGGGATGGATGTCTACAGCAGAGGTGGAGAGAGAGAAAAGAGAGTTTTTAAGCCAGCCTCATTCCTGAGGTAAACATATTATAGAGTTCTGTGTTGTGTTAAAAGCAGGAGGCACTGAAATGGTTTGCAAATTTCATATTTCTAAATATTAATGACTTTTTTCCCCACAGGAGTTAAAATAAAGCAAGAGGATTTCTAACATGATTGGAAATATATCTACAAATTATATTTTAATAAAATATGCCATTATTAATCTTGTCATAGTGCATTTGTTTAAATTGCAATACGTATCCGTTGGCCATAAGTATTTGTTGAATGTGATCATGGTTGTAATTCACTTTCAGTTGGTATAGGAGATTTTAGGACAGAACATTCCTGTACTGTACTTCCTATAACAATCAATGGCAAAAGTTTATAGAGTTCTTTCTGCTCTTAACATCCAATGCATTTTTCAATTACTCAGTTCTGGGTTACCACAAGTATGAATACAGCTGTTTTTCTGAAGAGTACAGCTCAATTCAGCTAAGCTATAAAAGACCAGACTATAATGCTTTTCCTCCCAGGAGAAGAAAGGTGGTGTTTATACAAGCTCTCTCTTAAAAACACCCAACATTCTACTTCCATTGAGTCACACAGAAACCCTGCAAATAGACACTGTTAAGCAGCAAACCAATTTATGTCTCCAGGTGATATCACATTTCAGCACTGCTTCCTCTTTGGGTAGATATCAATTGAAGAGAAAAAGCTCAAAACGTTTAATATATTTAACAGCTCTTTCTGCCCCGCATGAGTTGTTCTGACTTTCCTATGAGGAAGGAACTCCAGGAGTTTTTGAAAATTTCAACTATATATTCATCTTTTTGAGATTTTCAACTATAGTTTCTTGTTCTTTCAGATATCTGTGGAGGATTACAAGATTTCAGAGGGTTACCTCTCTATTTAAGTTATTAGCAGTGATGGTGACAGGTAAGCAATTCTGCTGGTACACTGAGAGAGCTGGTTACAGTGATTCTGCTGGTTACAGTGAGACAGGAGAGATGCAGACCACCTTTGGCTTACAGAAGTCTAAGTATTGGCCAGGAGACTTGCAGGTATTCTGCAGGAACATGTTTGTCCTGAGAAAGTGGTTCTACCTTCTACAAGCTGCTGCGGAGTCTTTCCCCGTGTCAAGTGGAGTTTGGCCATATAAATGCCCCAGAGAAGATCATTTTAGTTGCTCTCTGAATTAGCATTGATGAACTTCCCATAGCTGAAAGGGATGATATGGGGACGATGTATCTTCTCTAGAAGTGGTGAGGTAATGTCAAACACAAGCTCCTTTCAAAGCAGCTGCCACACTTGTAGGAATAGCACAGCAACATCTGAAATTTTGCCACTAGATCCCAATCATACTAAATAAAAAAGATTTGAAGAGAATAACAAAAGGCTTGCATGAATATTTGATGGTTCTGCATATTGAGCTGCTCAAGCCAGAAATGCTGCATAGGCTGGAAAAGTGATGATAAGAGATAGGTTTTCCAGTTTCTGAATATTTTTTTCTTCTCAGCTGTCCAGGAAAAGCTATATTTATGCATGAATCATTTTCATAGTTAATAGAGAATATCTTGCTCTTTGAGACAGTAAGTCCTGCATTTTTTAAAAGAGGTTTGCTTGCTTGTATTTCTTCTTGAGGATAAATATTAATTTAAGCATAAATATTAATTTAAGACCGAATCTCATCAGGGAACAAATTTATCCTCCACAGGTTCAAGTCCCGATTAAAACACGTCAATAAATTCCTGGAATTTTATGATTCATAGAATCGTAGAATCATGGAATAGTTAGGGTTGGAAAGGACCTTAAGACCATCTAGTTCCAACTCCCCTGCCATGAGCAGGGACACCTCGCACTAAACTGTGTCTCCCAAGGCTCCGTCCAACCTGGCCTTGA